GTTCACAAGATTTTTCAACAAAATTGATATTACGATTGATTCTCTTAAAATCGGGGTCGGCCTCGAAAGGCGAAACATATATTTTTTGGAAAGGGTGAGCCACTTACGTATTTTTCAATATTTTCTGCACAATTGCTTCAATGTTTTTTGAGTAGAGAAATAAGCCTACAAAACATTTTTTATGTCGAATTTTCATTAAAAGGTGTAAATTTTCGAATATATTGTATGTCAGGCATTAGTTAAAACCCAACGTTTTCAACCTCCCAGTGCCCGATCCAAAAGCCACGGGATTTTTTCTGACTCTTCTGACCGGTACTTGATACAAAGAGAATGGAAAATGTGCTTCCAGAAGAAGGCAGGCACTGTCGATTAATTATTTTGATATGAATATAGTCGGATAGGTTATATTTATTAATAATAATTGATAACTTGTAATTGTGGTAATTATGCTATGAAATATAAAATTCACAAGGTGAGAGTTGAAATTGAAAAAATTAAAAAAATTAATTGTCATTTACAATTTTCATTGCGAGCAGATATTTAAATCTAACTTTGCAGCCTTCGGCCATGTGAGGAGCCTGTGGTTTGTTGCATACCCAGAAATTCGAAAACAAAGAAATGTTAACTGAAAATACAAATATTTGATTGTGTTAAACTGCTTATTATTTTACACATAGCGTCACTGTTTACAACAAAGCTGACAAGCAACAGAAAGGCTCTAAGAAAGGGGACACACGACGGTTAATATTTGCTATTTACGTATTGCTTTAAAGAAGAGCAACTTTTTTTTGTATTCTTGGGGTGTAAAGGAATTGTTGCACATTGTATATGTGTATACTTTGCAATGTTAGTAGAGTATTTCGGAATATTGTTTGAAGTATTTAGTTATTGGAGTTTTATACCACAGAGTTTTATTTATACTACTTGAGTAGTATATGCTTACTACATTTTGGAAAACCAAAATTTTGTGTTGTTTTCTCTGTACCAGATTTTTGCTGCTGCAGGCATCTAGTTTGTAAAGTTTTCCACTAAAATTATGAATATCATGTTACTATGATTTTTTTGTTTCATTTGGTTTCTTTTACATGCAATTTTGACATAAAAAAAGTTAGATAATGTTACAGGTAATAATCCTTAACCCATGATATTTTATTTGTTTTAGTTGTGAGAAATCGTCGGGACTGTGAAATAATGTCTCAATTAACTCTTCAGATATATAATCATTAACATTTTAAATGTTACTCTTTACATTATTACTAGAGGTCGGATTTTGATGACCTAAAACATTGCCGAAAATGATCAATAAAATGCTCTTAAAAGGCTTCAAAAATTCACTAAAAACAAAGAAAAATGACGTAAAAAAGTGAACAAAACACTTCAAATGTATAACTCAAACAGTTTGATATGTTATTGAAGTTATCGAGGCTTCTTCCTTTTGTTCAAGTCAACTCAACTTGCAAACATTGCATTTGTACTGTTCTTTAAAAGAAAATCTCTGCTTTTTATTGCGAAAACGACCGAACTAACAATGGCGCCGAGAATCGTCACAGGAACCTTAGATTACATAGCACTCATGACGGCTCACATTACAATATATAAGCAAAGAACTCGAAAAGGTTACTCAGGAATTCTGTGGTAAACATTTGTTGCTCCTCGTAAATATTGTTTGAAGCAAGTATCATTAAAATGATATTAAAATCGATAAAATTAGCTAAAAATACAGAAAAATGTCTTAAAAGGGTAGAAAATGACAGTCGAAATCGACGAAAAATGCAAAAAATGACACATAAACATGTGTAACTCGTAATATAAAATGGATATCTATACTAAAATCCATTGTTCTAAAGTGAAAAAAATACATATCATTAAAATCTGCCCCCTAATTATTACACTTAAAACATACAAAAGATATTCTTCTTCACACTTCGGAATGTCTAACGTCATTCTATTAATGTTCTCCAAGAAATTTTTAAAATTGTTCAATGTCTGCAGTAATGTATAAACTAACGCAATACTGTTACTTAGTAATAAATTCAGAACGAATTCACCTGTAAATACTTTTGTTTACAGTGAGAAGGTACCTGCATTCAATACCTTATTCGACATAAATTCTGATAGATTTTTACTTTACCTTTTTTGGATATCTCTACATATTCCGAGACAATTACAACTTTTTTACGTATTTTTCCTAATACGAGTATTTTATCATATTTTACTATGATAAGAGAACATTTCAGTAACGAGTTTGTCGATATATGTTCGTGGCTCATCTTCCTGTTAAATAAAGCAAAGTAATACCGCACTTCTATTCTCGCAAATCATGCACTCGAAA